ACGGGGGACGGGGCGGGGCGGGGCGGGGCGGAGGGTCCGCCTTCCTCCCGCCCCTCATCTTCCCTCCTCCTGTCCCTGAGCTGCACATGCCTCGGTGTTTTTTGAACGTGGAATTGGCTCCCCTGCCCCTTAACCTGCATTAAAGACCTTGCCTGCTTCCAGGGTGGTGGTGGGGGCTTTGTGGCTATCACCAGCCTAGAGCGGGTCAGAGGTAGGTGGGTGGAAAAGCTGGGGTTGAGGTTTGAGTTGCACGCATGGGGTTTAGGAGTGCCTGCCTCCTCCAGGAAGGTCCCTGCCCAGCTGCCACAACCGGGACAGTGAACACAGGAACTGCAGTGGCAGGTGAAGAGGCTGACCTGGGGTGGGGGCGGGCCTGCCCAGGCCTCTCCACCCACAGCTTGGGGTTGAGCTTCGAGGTGAGGCAGGTGCCTGAGTGCCCTCCGGCAATACCGAGGACCAGCCACAGGGCGGGCAGCCAGGCGGTGCCCTGCCCTCCTATGCTCAAAGTCACCAGCTTTTGGGCAGTAGTCCCGAGGCGGCTAGGCCAGCACAGGATAGGGCGGGGCTGTAGTGAATGGAGCACAAATGCCCCTGGGATTGGGCAGTTCTGCACCAGGGTTTTTCCGCAGAGGGACTGTCTTAATGGGGCGCGTCTCAGGCCAGGACTCCCCATGAGGGGTGTGATGGGGCTGCCCCCTAGCGGGCATAATGAATCTCAGCTTCCAGGGCAGGCTCTCCCGCACTGAGGCTGAGCAAGGATGGGGCTTCCAGGCATGGCCCAGGAGTTCCCCGGAGCCGGTGACTCAGCTGCTAAGGCTCAGTCCGAGTGCTGCTTCTCGGAGGTTTTTGATTATAATCAGATGCCATCTCTCCCTCCCTGGCGCGCTTTCGCTGCCTGTCCCCACGTGGGGAAGGGGTTTCCCCTCCTGGCCCGCTCGCTGCCCTGGAGTGCCAGACAGTGGTTTAGACACTTCGGTTCTGTCTTTGGCTGGCTCTATCCGCACATATCCCCCTTTCTGGAACCCCCTGCACCTACTACGCATCTGGCTGCGAGCACCCTCCCCCCTCAGGGCGTCAGTTTAGGGGAGTTTTGCGAGCGTGAATGAACCAGAGTAACCTGGGGAGTTCCCAGGCCCAAGTTGCTCGCCCGCGGGTGGGGCAGCTCCCAACTCCGACCGCTGGGCGTAGGCAGGGTGCGCTACCAACTCCGGCTGGGGCGCGGCTTCCCTGCCAGGGGCGGAGCGGGGCGCCTGCGGGGGCAGGTTCTTGGGTCTCGGAGCTGATGGGCGGGGGAGTAGTGGAGAGCCGAACCATCCTCCAGCGTGGGCTGAAGCAGGGATCCGAGACGGATCCATGGCTGCGGGTAGCGCCTTCCCCTCCCGCAGGGAGGCCGTGCTGCAGCGGTCGTGCTGGCTGGACGCTGGCTGCGAGCGCGCGCGGCGGGGCTTTCTCTTCGAGCAGCTGTGCTGTGTCGGTGGGTGCCTGGGCCGGAGGGGCCACGGGCTTTCATCTGCAGGGGCTGGGTTAGGGGTGGGGCCTGGCTCAGGTGCAGCCTCTCCAACTCCGGAAACACCTGGAGAGGAAAAGAGGGGGAGTTGTTTCTGGAGGAGGGGGATGGGAGGTGGGCGGGGCGGAAGGCTCCGCCCGGTTTCCCGGCGCCAGACGCTGGCAGCCAGGACGTGGGGGTGGGGGGCACAGAGGGCGGGGCTTGAGATCTATGGACTCCGGGCCCGCGCGGCTCACTTCCACTCTTGGGGTTTCCTTCCCAGCACGTTATTGGCTAACCTGTTCTTTCATCTGTAGAAGGGAGGCAGCAGTACTCCTAGAGGACTGCAGCTCCTTCTCCTGGGTCTGGTGCGGAGGGTCAGCAGCCTTGTCCAGGGCAGGGGTCAGACAGGTGTATAGGCCGGTGTCCTGGGGTGGGTCAGACAGATGGGAGAGCGTATGGAAGTGTGCAGCAGCGTTTGAAGAGGGGGCATGGCCGCGTTGGGGCTAGATGGGGGTCCTACCAGGCTGGGAGGAGTTGCCTGTCGGTCTGAGTCTGAGTAGGATGGTGAGGGGAAGGGTATGCACAGCCAGGTGCCAAGGTGGGCAGGACTGGTAGAGAATGTGAGGGGTTTTGAGGTCTGAATGGCTGGAAGGTGCTCCAAGGAAGGAGGTAGGAAGCAACCAGAGGCCCAGTGGCTTCTGGAATTTGTAGTGCAGGAGGAGGCTTGGGGGTTGGAGGATCCTGCCCTGAGTCCCAGTGCCCTGTACCTGGTGCAGCATTCTTGGGAGCCTGTGACAGAGAGGAGCCTGGAGAAGGGGCTGAGCTGGAGCCTGGGAGCCACTCATGTCTGGCCTCCCCAAGTTCCATCTGCTTCCTGGGTTCCTTTGGCCCACTGCTTGGCCCACTCCCTGGAGCCTGCGGTGTCTGTGCCCCTTGGCAGAATGACAGTCCACTCCTGTTCCCGTGTTCTGCAGCTTCTTAGCAGAGTGGGCTTCCTGCTGTGGGAAGGCAGTTGGCCCACTCCTCTGGGGAGGCAGCCCGTGTTCCCACAACCCCAGCCTGGGGCAGGGAGGTGTGAGACACTCGCAGTCTTATGTTTTCAGAGTACTGAGCAGTGTGGGGTCAGATTTGAGATTCTGGAGGGCCTCTGGAGGGTGAGGAGTTGATCCTCAGTGGGATCCCAGGACCTGTTGGGCCAAACTATGGGCAGAGCCCGAGAGTATCCTATTGGAGCTGAGGGATACCCTCAGAGAGGAGAGGCACAGACTGTGGGCAAAGCAGGAGAGTGTCCTGTTGGAGCCGAGGGGTACCCTCAGAGATGGGAGGAAGGGTAAGAAGTTTGTCAGGGTCCTTGAAACTAACTGTGCCTTTCAGCTTGGGGTGGGCCCTTAATCCCCTCTGCTGGCTCAAACACTCCCCCCCCTCCCGTTTTGGTGCCCTCTCCTGGCTAGAGAGAGCAGGGGTAGGGTGGAGTGAGTTTTTCCTGGAACAGAGAGGCCTGGAGGCTCTGTGGAAAATGGGGGGAGGGTGTTCTTCAGTAGCTCACAGCTGGATCGAATCAAGCCAGAAGCATGTCCTGGAAAATTCTTGTGGTAGGGCAGTGCATTTTTCCTTTGGCGGTGGGGCTGGCTATGCAGTCCCAGAGGCTGGCCATAGGTGGCTCCCTTCCCTGACCTGAGGGAGCCAGAGGCCCTAAGGAAGCAGGCCTGTTCCCCTGGACTCTTGTGCCCTTTGTCCCAATCCTCTACCTTTACAACCTTCTACCTTTACAACCTGATCAGCTGTTACTGTGAGCCCCACCTAGCTGCAAACTGCCCCCTACCCAGCCTGCCCCCAGGTGCCATTTCCTTTTCTGGTGAGTCACAGCGCCAAGGTCTGTTCCCCATCTGACTCACTGGCTGTGCCCCCTCGGGTTCTCCCCTCAGCCTCAGTGCTCCTTGGGGAGGTGCCCCGCAGCTCAGGCAGGGCGGTCCTGCTCGGATGAATCATTGCTCAGCTATGTGCTGCTTTTGCCGGAGGTGTGCTCTGCCTGACCAGGCTGGGCCTGGGGTTGGGCTAGGTTTGCCCAACCCTTAGGGGATTCTAGGAAGCCAGGCCGGCCCTGAAGTAGGGCCCAAAGGAGCCCAGGGGCTGAGGGACAGACCCCGTCACTTCTTAGTGCAGTTGTGCAATAGTGTTCTACAGGTTGGGGTTCCTCCTGGAGTCTGGCCTGGCAGGGAGGTGGGCTGGCTGAAGGGATCGCTGGAATGTTAAAACAGGTGTGGCCTCAGTGCTGGCCCCCAGCCACACAGGCGTTCTTCTGTGGGTTGGCGGGAAGTCCTCCTTCCCCTTGATGTGTGACAAGGAGTTCTAGGTGGCCTTGGGGATGGCGTATGTTCCACTGTCCTAGTGCCAGCGCCTGGCCCCCCTCTGAACCTCCGAGTCCCACTATGGGCTGGGCAACAGAGGAAACCCTGGTTTCCTGTTTCTGGTGGGCCCAGGGTGTGACCATGGGGGAGGGGCTGCCTTCCTCCTTCCCGCTGGGACACTCCCCTCTGGGGGGCCGGGCAAAGTGGGGTGGGGCTCAGAGGTGGGTCGGCCTTGCTGGGGAGTATAGCCGACAGGGAGTGGCCGCTGCAACTGCAGCTTAGAGCTGATCCTGTGCCGAGTGAACTTCCAGCGCAGCCCCAGCCTTTAGGAGCTGGTGTGCCACTCGGGTGCCCAGAGCACAGCACCTGAGGGCGGAGGGACAGAGTGACGAAGGGGCGGGTACAGCGCCATGTCTCAGCACCGACTCCGTGTGCCTGAGCCTGAGGCCCTAGGTGGCAAGAGAACCAACTCAGAGGACAACCTCTACCTGGCGGTGCTTAGGGCCTCCGAGGGGAAAAAAGGTAGCAGGCACCCCCGCTGGGCAGGGTGGGTCTCTGTGGCAGGAAGGGCTAGCTGCTTCCTGTGGCAGGAAGCCTTGGCATTGGGGTGGGGTGGGGCCGGGCCCAGACTAAGGGGGTCTGGGTTTAGGGGACGGACTGTAATGAGGGGCCAGTGTGGATTGGTCTCTGAGCCTGGACTATGGGGCCAGGGCAGCAGGGGTCTCTGGGGCCTGGGGAGAACCCACTGCCCTGTTAGCTGCCCTTCTAGCTCTTGGCTGGCCTGGCCCTGCAGTGCCTCTACTCAGCCTACAAGGAAGCATGTGGGATAGGGCAGGCCTCGACTTGCGTGACGGGCTCTGGGTGCTGTAGCGCTGGACCCTCCCATCTCCTTGGGAAACAGTGTGGGGGCTGAGTAGGGGCCTAAACCCGCGCCTGGACTACAGCTGGCTGGGCCTGGGAGCCTTGCTCTCTGCTGTGTTTGCCAGACTGGGAGCTGAGGTGCCTAGTCACTGTGACCTGGAAGGGCCCTGAAGCTGGAGCTGCTTCTAGTCCTCCTCCTTAGGTGGGATTGTCTGGCCAGGCGTCTGTGTCTTCATGGTGGTCACCTCTGGGGGCCTCCCTGAGCTCCCAAGCCCCAGCTAAACTGACCTTGTCTCTTCCAGATGAGCGGGACCGTGTCCAGAAGAAAACCTTCACCAAGTGGGTCAACAAACACCTCATCAAGGTTGGTGGTGGCTGCTTGTGGGGGGTGACACCAGCCTGTGCCCCCCCATGTCCTCACACTGCTGTGCTGCCCTTTCATCTCTGAAGCCTGTTATTTTCTCTGTCTTCTCCCACGCTTGCTCCTCTTGCTCCTCTTCTTCTGATCTTCTGGCTCTGCTGTAGCACTGGAGGGCAGAGGTAGGTACCTGTGTAGGGTGGGGGCATATTCTATGCACCTTTGTCTTTCCTTCCGGGGCTGTGCCTTTACTTTGCCCTTCCCCAGCTGTAGGTGGCTGTGGAGGATCTGTGGTAACCCCAGCCCCATTGTCCCCTCAGGCCCAGAGGCACATCAGTGACCTGTACGAAGACCTCCGAGATGGCCACAACCTCATCTCCCTGCTGGAGGTCCTCTCTGGGGACAGCTTGGTATGTACATACACACGCGCACGCGCGCGCGTGTCCAGCCCTGCCTGTGTCTCTGTGACGCCTTGCCTGTCTTCCTTCCTTGGGCCCTTTCCTGACTACCATTCTGTGTCTAGCTTGGCTCTTCCTGCCTTCTCCCTGGAAGCAGCCTGGCCTCGCCCCACCCTCCTCCAGTGCATCTCCAGATCCAGGGTTTTTGTATCACACAGAAGGCCTGGCCTGGGGGTGGCGATGGTCCCGTTGCCATAGGCTGCTCTGGCCCTTGCTGTCCTCTGCATCGGAGCCTTAACACAGTAACCTCATGCTCTGCTCTGCTTTGGTTTCTCTGCTGCTTGGATTTCTGAATCTTGATCTCTGCCCTTTACCCTTTGGCCTGCTCTGGTTGGGCAGCCGAGGGAGCGGGACATAATCAGGAGCTTGCGCCTGGTGAGTGGTTGTGCCTGGTGAGTGGTAGCAGGTGGGCTCTCTGAGATGTGGAGCCCAGCTCACCTGGGGCTGGTGGTCAGTCCAGCCCAACCCACATCTGGCTCTGGGGTGGGAGGATGGTTGTGCATCAAGCTGCTTATGGTCTTGCCTGCTGCTCTGCCTGGGGCTGGGGCTGGGGCTGGGGCTGGGGCTGGGACCCACCAAAAGCTGCAGTGGCCGCCATTGCCAGGAAGGAGGACCCTCTCCAATGCCACTACCCTCCATCCACAGCTTCTTGGCTGTTGTCTCCTCTCCACCCCCTTCTTTCTTTCCCACAGCCTGGGTCACTGGCTTCCCAAGGCCCTGTTGGGCCTGGGCCTGTCCCTAGGCTAGTTGCCTCCCTGTCCTAGCTGCCGTGGGTGAACCTGGGATGTAGGAGGGGCTATTGCCCCATTGGGGAAGACCCTTGGTTCAGTTGCTGCAGCTGCTTTGGGGGGTTCTGAGGGGTGGTACCTGGGAGCGGCAGTTGCTGTGTAGACACTGACGATGCCATGCCTTGTCTCAGCCCCGGGAGAAGGGGAGGATGCGCTTCCACAAGCTGCAGAATGTCCAGATTGCCCTGGACTACCTCCGGCACCGCCAGGTAAGGCTGCCCGAGACTCCAGGTGCCCTCTCTGAGCTGCTGCCCTGTGGCCTGTGACTGAGAGCCACTTGTTCACAGGTGAAGCTGGTGAATATCAGGAATGATGATATTGCTGACGGCAACCCCAAGCTGACCCTTGGCCTGATCTGGACCATCATCCTGCATTTCCAGGTTCAGGGGCTGCCCCCAGGGATCTTTGGTGGGATGGCCCACTTTCTGGCTGTGTGGGGCCTGGAGGAGGTACCCTTAGAATGGAAGTACCTGGGAGACTTCCTCCCAGCTCCATCCTGATGCTGATTCTGTGGCCCAAGGTCCCAGGCCTTTCTAAGACTTACCTATCCCGTGCTCTCTGGCCCCATCTGGGCAGGGCCCACAGAGCCTCCTTAGAGGAATTTGTTCACTGCTGGCTACCCTGGGGAAGCTACTGGAGCTGCAGGGGCTGGCCTGGCTGACTCACTCGTTGCCTGTGCTGGCCACACAGGAAGCCACAAATCTGAGATCTGAGCAGGAGAGCCAGGCTGGCACGGCAGCTGAGTCACACACAGCTGGCAGGCCCTTAGACAGCTAGGGACACGCCGATGGGTGTGCTCACAGCAGACCTAGGCCTAAAATGGATGAAGTGCCAGGCGCACATGCTATACCCACCCGCTGGAAACACCCCAACTCCTGCTTGCAGCGACGGAGGGCCTTGACCTACCTTGCCTTCAATGCAACAGCCTTCTCTAGGCTTAGTTCTGGGCCAGCTTTGAGGGTCTCATTCTTATGCTCACTGCACATCAGCTAGTCTGTGCTCCCCACTGGGAGCGTAGGATGCACTAAGGCTGGCTTCACCTCCCACCACGTTATTAGTGGAGGTTGAGGGTCCTGACTTACTCTGTGGTAGCTGCTCTCTAGAGTGGCCTGGGTTTGTGGCGCTGAGATACAGTGGCTCCCAGTGGATCCCTGACATGGGAGCTGCCTCAAATGGGGCCTGGTGACCCTGTGCTGGGTGCTAAGCCACACCTACCCTCATTCAGGTGGTCACAGGTACTGGGTGGGGGTGGATGGCTGGGCAGGTGGTAGCCAGTGCTGAACTTCTGCCTCCTGCCCTGTGTTGGGTAGATCTCAGACATCCAGGTGAGTGGGCAGTCGGAGGACATGACGGCCAAGGAGAAGCTGCTGCTGTGGTCACAGCGCATGGTAGAGGGCTACCAGGGCCTGCGCTGTGATAACTTCACCTCCAGCTGGCGTGATGGCCGCCTCTTCAATGCCATCATCCATCGGCACAAGTACGTGGCCTGGGGGGCAGAGGGGACCGTGAGTTGGAGGCACCCCAGCCGGGGTGTCTTCAAACAAGTTAGGGCCGAGAGGGTGGCAGGAGGGGTGTCTTCTACTGACAGGAACTTGGTGCCCATGGGGATGGGTGCCAGCCAGCTGCCTTTTGGGTCCTGCCTTTTTGCTCCTGGATTTTCACAAGAGCCTCCAGGTCCTTAAGGCCTTCGGGTAGGGTGCAGGTTCTGCTCACGTGGACACCTCAGAAGGGCTTGGCAAGTGGTCAGGCTGTAAAGACTCCAGGCTGACTGCAGCCTGTGCTCAGGGCAATAACCCTGTGCCCATTGCAGGCCCCCTGGGCTCATGGGGAATGGGGGTAGCAGGGTCCTTTCAGACCTGCTCATGTGGGCAGGATTGGGAGTATTAGAGGAATGCATGAGTGTAGGAGTTTATCAGGTTATGTGGGGGAGTTTGCCTTGTGCCAGCCTGTTAGTGGGCTTTACTGCCCCCATCCCACCTGCCTCACCTGCCCGTTTGTCCACAGACCTATGCTCATTGACATGAATAAAGTATATCACCAGACCAACCTAGAGAACCTGGACCAGGCTTTCTCTGTGGCAGAGCGAGACCTGGGCGTGACTCGGCTCCTGGACCCTGAGGGTACGAGCTGCTGGCTTCTCCTCCTTTTGCCTCTCTGAGGCTGCAGAGGCCCCTCTGACCCTGCCCTTCCCTGCAGATGTTGATGTCCCGCAGCCTGATGAAAAGTCCATCATCACCTATGTCTCATCCCTTTATGATGCCATGCCCCGTGTGCCTGGGGCACAGGATGGAGTGAGGGCCAATGTGAGTAGTGGCTCAGGGACAGTGGGAGACAGGTGTAGCCCCATTGGCTCCTGACTGCTTGTGTGTCCACAGGAGCTACAGCTCCGCTGGCAGGAGTACCGGGAGCTGGTTCTGCTGCTGCTACAGTGGATCCGGCACCACACAGCTGCCTTTGAGGAACGAAAATTCCCCTCCAGCTTTGAAGAGATAGAGGTGGGCCTGCCCACATGGCCAGGGTCTTCTGCCTACCCTGGCATGGCTCCTGACACCCCTGTCTCCACAGATCCTGTGGTGCCAATTCCTCAAGTTTAAGGAGACAGAGCTTCCAGCCAAGGAGGCTGACAAGAACCGGTCCAAGGGGATCTACCAGTCCCTGGAGGTGAGTGGGGTATCCCTTAGGGATGTGAGTGGGATGTTCTTCAGGGTGGTGAGTGGAGTGCTCCTTAGGGAGATGGGTGAGGTGTCCCTTGGGAAGTAGATGAAGTGGTGAGTTGGGCATCCTGCACCCCCAGTGCCTGCCTTTTGAGCTTTTGGGACCAGGGCTGTTCCAGGTTAGGCGGGCCGGGGGCCTGAGGTCCCTGCATGCCCACTACCTACAGCTTGGGGCTGAGTTCTGTCCCTGCTCCCAGGGTGCAGTGCAAGCAGGTCAGCTCAAGGTGCCCCCCGGCTACCACCCGCTGGATGTGGAGAAGGAGTGGGGCAAGCTGCACGTGGCCATCCTGGAGCGGGAAAAGCAACTCCGGAGCGAGTTTGAGAGGTGGGTGGTGTGGGGAATTGGCAGTGGGTGGCGGGTGGGGCCCTGTGGTTGCAGGGGAGCCACCCACGGGTGAGTCACTGCCTGGGGAGGAAATTCCCCCCAAGGCTAGGGAACCTGAGCTTGCTCTAGGCGAGAAGGACATTGGGCCCCAGGCAAGCGGGGAGGTGGGAGCTGGGGAGCACTGCTCACCGGCACCGAGCGTGGCAGCACCACCGAAACCACCACGGGTCTCAGGGATGCTCTGGGTTGCAGACTGGAGTGTCTTCAGCGCATTGTGAGCAAGTTACAGATGGAGGCTGGGCTGTGCGAAGAGCAGCTGAATCAGGCCGACGCCCTGCTGCAGTCGGTGAGGGGGAGGGGTAAGGGGAGGAGAAAGGGGGATGAGCAGGGAGGAGCAAGGGGTGGGACTGGGCCTTAGGGAGGTGGGAGGAGCCCAAGTGTCTGCCCTATAGCTAGGCTGGTGGCCTCCCTGGCTCTGTGGGCAGGGTGGGGAATGGGGTGAGGCAACCAGGACCAGCTCCTCCCTCCTGATATTTTGCCAACTCTGGTCTGTTACTCAGGCCAGGGCTGGCTTCTGGGTACCAGGCAGGATACCCTATCCTCTTGTAGGTCGACCCCTCCTTCATAGCCGTTGGGGGCAACACCTACTGCTAGTAGGGTGCCTGAGCAGGGTTCTGTCAAGATGATACATTACAGGGATAGATGATGGGGGGTGAGTCTGGGATCCTGTAGAAAGATCATGTAAAAGGCCTCCATCTTTGGCCCTGTGGAATTGCTTTGACTGGATCCTGGCTCCCAGAGCTAGACTATGCAGGCTAGTCGAGGCTTGTCCACATGTCAGAAAGATGTGTGGGGTTGGCAGGAGGGGCAGGAAGGGATCGGATCCTGAGGCAGCGGGCCAGGTGAGGTGTGAGTCTCAGGCTGGGGCAGTATGATCAAGGAGGAGGGCCAGCCAGGCTCTGCATCACAGGCAACACCTTACAGGATGTCCGGCTACTGGCTTCAGGCAAGACACCGCAGCGGGCAGGGGAGGTGGAGCGGGACTTGGACAAGGCTGATGGCATGATCCGGCTGCTGTTCAACGATGTGCAAACCCTCAAAGATGGGCGGCACCCGCAGGGCGAGCAGATGTACCGCAGGTGGGGCCTGACGTGCCCTCTCCAAGTGGCCTGGGGTGGTCAACCTGGACCCAGCTGACCCTCCCGTTTCCTCTGCTTCCCAGAGTATACCGTCTGCACGAGCGCCTGGTGGCCATTCGCACAGAGTACAACCTCCGGCTGAAGGCGGGCGTGGCTGCTCCTGTGACCCAGGTGACCCTGCAGAGTGTACAGAGGCGGCCGGAACTGGAGGATTCCACCCTGCGCTACCTGCAGGACCTACTGGCCTGGGTGGAGGAGAACCAGCGCCGGGTGGACAGTGCTGAGTGGGGCGTGGACTTGCCCAGTGTGGAGGCGCAGCTGGGGAGCCACCGAGGCCTGCATCAGTCCATTGAGGAGTTCCGGGCCAAGATCGAGCGGGCGCGGAATGACGAGGTGGGCAGCGTCCCTGGGGTGGGCAGTGGGTCGTAGGCCAGGTACTAGGCCCTGCAGGCCTCACTCCTCTTGTGCTCTACAGGGCCAGCTCTCTCCTGCCACTCGGGGTGCCTACCGAGACTGCCTGGGTCGCTTGGACCTGCAGTATGCCAAGCTGCTGGTTAGTAGAGGGGGCTGTGTGGGGCTGGGGCAGGTGGGTGGCTGCAGCCTGCTGACACATTCCCTGCCTGCAGAATTCCTCCAAGGCCCGGCTCCGTGCCCTGGAGAGCCTTCACGGCTTTGTGGCAGCTGCCACCAAGGAGCTGATGTGGCTGAATGAGAAGGAAGAGGAGGAGGTGGGCTTCGACTGGAGTGACCGCAACACCAACATGGCTGCCAAGAAGGAGAGCTATTCGGTGAAGCACCTTGCTCCCCCAGAGCTGTCCCACAAGCACTGTCCCCACCTCTTTCCACTGTACCTGGCCCATGCCCTCATTCTACTGTTGAGAGCCACTTGGGAGGCCAGTGAAGTCCAGCTCCAAACTCCATGGAGACCAACACTGTACTTGAGTTGTATTTGCTGGGAGACTGCAGACCCCAGCCTAGCCTGACCCTGCCCTGAGACCCTCTGTCCCTGTATCAGGCCCTGATGCGTGAGCTGGAGCTGAAGGAGAAGAAAATCAAAGAGATACAGAACACTGGAGACCGGCTACTGCGGGAGGACCATCCTGCCCGGCCCACGGTGGAGGTGAGGGGAGGATTATAGCACTGGGGAGGGGCACCATGGGTAGGCCTGGGGCTGAATGCCCATCGGAGGCCCTGGTATACGGGAGGGGCTGTGGGGACCACCCTGGGCCCAAGAGTGTAAGAGGAGCCTGAAGATGCTCTGTCCTACAGTCCTTCCAGGCTGCCTTGCAGACTCAGTGGAGCTGGATGCTGCAGCTGTGTTGCTGCATCGAGGCGCACTTGAAGGAGAACACCGCCTACTTTCAGGTGAGAACTGGAGCCTCCTCCTCCCTGGCACTCAGCCATAGATCCTGGTAGGAGCCCCCCAACTGCACGGTGATGCTTGGCTCCTAACCCTCCTGTGGCTGCCCGGGCAATGCCAGATGCTTTTTGCACTCTGTCCCGCCGAGTTGGGGTCAGAATCCTCCCTGCTTGCCACCCCTTGGTCCAGGCCTCATCTCTTTGGCCTAAAAAGGACAGCTCACCATAATCCTCCCCACTATTCCAGTTCTTCTCAGATGTACGGGAGGCTGAGGAGCAGCTGCAGAAGCTGCAAGAGACACTGCGTAGGAAGTACAGCTGTGACCGCTCCATCACCGTCACCCGACTTGAGGACCTGTTACAAGATGCCCAGGTGAGGCAGATTTGGGCAGGAGCACAGGGACAGGCTGGGCTGGAGTGGGGGCAGTACTGGGGGATGGAGGGCCTGGGGCATGATGGGAACTGAGAGGCTGGTGGAAGTGGCTGGCTGAAGCTGTGTGAGCCTCACCCCTGAAGCCAACATGAATGGAGGCCTGAATCAGCTGACGTCCCACACATTTGATTGTAGGTGGGCACTGGCTTTCTGGCCCAGTGTTTGGTGCAAGCATAGTCTGTGGGGCTGTGGAGGGCTGGGCATAATGTCTGCAGGCCATGGAGCAGGGTAGACGTGTGCCAGGAGGGCCAGTGTACTGGCTGGGAATGATGAAGGGAGGAGCTGGCTTTGTGGTCCTCAAAGGCCAGTGACTCAGCCACAGTGTCTGCCTAGGAGAGGGCAAGAGGTATAGGACTCCCCAGCCCCCACTGGAGGACTCTACCCCACAGCCTTAGATAGTCCTTGGTGAGGCCTCGTTCTCACAGAGGGGCTGGACAGGAAGAGGAGCTGACCTTTTGCAGCCAGAAGGTGAGGAAGCAGGAGAATATTGCATGGTCCAGGATATAGCTAAGCTGTTCTCCCTTCCCTGGAGAATATAGTGGGTGGCCTAGGGTGGGGCACACAGTCTAGGTTGGGAAGTAAGAGGTACAGTAGGATCTCGCTGCGGGACAAGCCCTAAGGCCTGTCCCAGCTGTGACTTCTGCCTCTGATGCCCCTACCCCCAGCTGAGGAAGGATCCACAGACCTGGCCATCTCAGTTCTGGGCATGCTAGGGTGTCTGCTGCCTGTATCTGGATGCTGTCTGTGTCTGCCCTGAGCTTCCCCTTCCCACAGGATGAAAAAGAGCAGCTAAATGACTACAAGGGGCACCTCTCTGGTCTGGCCAAAAGGGCCAAGGCCATCGTGCAGCTGAAGCCCCGCAACCCAGCCTACCCCGTGCGAGGCCATGTGGCCCTGCTGGCCGTGTGTGACTACAAGCAGGTGGAGGTGAGAGCTGGGCTGTGTGGGCCTGAAAAAGGAGGTTGTCAGTTGGGGGTGTGGTCCGGGCCACATTGTCACTGACTTTGGCTGTCCTAGGTGACCATGCATAAAGGTGACCAGTGCCAGCTGGTGGGACCTGCACAGCCATCCCACTGGAAGGTGCTCAGCAGCTCTGGCAGCGAGGCTGCTGTGCCCTCCGTATGCTTCCTCGTGCCCCCGCCCAACCAGGATGCCCTGGAGGCCATCACCAGGTGGGTGGCCTGGGGTCCTCATGTAGAGGGGTAGACAGTGGGAGTGGCCCCAGATATCCCTAACAGTGGCTTTGACCTGCCAGGCTGGAGGCCCAGCACCAGGCCCTGGTTGCACTGTGGCACCAGCTGCACGTGGACATGAAGAGCCTTCTGGCATGGCAGAACCTCAGCCGGGATGTGCAGCTCATCCGCTCTTGGTCCCTTGTCACGGTATGTCTGCCCCTGACCTTGGGCTCTTGGAGGGAGGGGGAGGTGGCCTTGGGCTCCAGCCAGCTCACCCCGTGCTCAGCTGTGCGTGCTCCTCTAGTTCCGAACACTGAAGCCAGAGGAGCAGCGCCATGCTCTGCGCAGCCTGGAGCTCCACTATCAGGCCTTCCTGCGGGACAGCCAGGATGCCGGCGGCTTTGGGCCTGAGGACCGGCTGGCAGCAGAGCGCGAGTACAGCTCTTGCAGCCGCCACTACCAGCAGCTGCTACAGAACCTGGAGCAGGGTATGCGTTGGGCAGGGCCAGTGGGCAGTTAGGCTGAGAACCAGTGGCAGCTGAGTGATGCGGTTGTGCCCCTAGGTGAGCAGGAGGAGTCTCGCTGCCAGCGCTGCATCTCAGAGCTCAAGGACATCCGGCTGCAGCTAGAGGCCTGCGAGACGCGCACCGTGCACCGGCTGCGGCTTCCCCTAGACAAGGAACCTGCGAAGGAGTGTGCCCAGCGTATTGCTGAGCAGCAGGCAGGCGCTGTCCCTGTCCCCATACCCCCCAACCCAGCCTTCAGGGGTGCGTTGGCTCTGATGGTCACTGTCTCCCTACTTGTTTTTTTCCTAGAAAGCGCAGGCTGAGGTAGAGGGACTGGGCAAGGGGGTTGCCCGGCTTTCTGCCGAGGCTGAGAAGGTCCTGGCCCTGCCCGAGCCATCATCAGCTGCCCCCGTTCTACGCTCGGAGCTGGAGCTGACCCTTGGCAAGCTGGAGCAGGTCCGCAGCCTCTCTGCCATCTACTTGGAGAAGTGAGTGCCCTTTGCAGGTGGAGGGCAGGCTCGGAGCAGGCTGTGGTGAGGGCTGTGACATCAGGAATATGCTGAGCAGAGGAACAATGGGACATAGGACAAGTTGGGGGCTGTTGAGTGCTCTGACTGGGAGACTAGGCTTGCACCAGAGTGGTGGCTGTGGAGGTGAAAAGCAGATTTCTGGTCCTGGTGGGTTTTAAAGATGGAGTCCATGGGGCTTACAATGATGGGATGAGGGTGTGAGGGGGAGAGGAGCTGGTCCAGACTGGACAGAAGGGAATGCAAACACAGGACAGAATGAAAGTGCAGCCTAGATCGGGGCAGAAGACTGCAAGGGCACGGGAACTCCAGCCAGTAGGTTCAGAGGAGGAAAAGGGCTGCCAAGTAAAAGGCACTGGGGACTTTGAGAAGGGTCTTGTTGATGGAGGATGGGGATGAAGACCTGGGAAGAACAGGCAGAGGTAGAGGTAGTGGGTGAGACAGTACAGGGCTGGGTTGGTAAGAGGCTCTTCACTACCTCCTAGCTCTCTTCCCACCAGACTCTTCCCTTCACCCTAGAGCTCTTGGTGGCATGCAGGGTCCCTAACAAAGACTGGCCCTTTCTGCCTCCCTTCCTGCCCCACTTCTATGCTCAGCTGAAGGCCTCTTCTGTCCTTTGTGTGCATTTTGAATATCTTAATGCAGAAGGGTAAAAGCTAGTATAGTCATGGATTAATTTTCAGAAGCGTAGTGAGAATTCTGTCTCCATCCCTGCCTTGTCTGTCCTATCTGTAGCCTTTATTTCTTCCTTTACTGCAAACAGGACCTTGGTCCTTTGTTTACCCTTTATTCACAAATACCAGCACACTGAGAAAAACATCAGTCAGCGCCATGGTGCTGTTGCCCTCCCCCGGGACCCCTCAGCCTATCTTGATTTTTTTTGTCTTTTTGAGACAGGGTCTTGCTGTGCAGTTCAGGCTGGCCTTGAGCTCACTTTGTAGCCCAGGCTGGTCTCGAACTCACAACGATCCTCCTGCCTCAGCCTCCTGAGTGCTGGGATTACAGGCTTGTACAACCATGCCTGCCCTCAGCCTATCTTGAGCTAGGAGGCTGAGAACTACACTTCTGGGTGGCACCATCTGCCCCAGGACCTTAGACTCTTCTATTCTTGGCTGGAGCATCCTCCCTCCTGGTCTTCATGCTGCAGACTAAGTGTCCCTGCACTGAGAGGCCCCCACCTACCCGAGTCCTGTTCTTCTGTGTCAAGCCTGTGGCCACAGAAGTCTGGGCTTGGCAGGAGGCACCCTGGGGCCTCTGGTGCCACTCCCCAAGGCTTGCTGCTAGAGCCCACCTATACCCTGGCTCTGAGCCCTGCTTTTCCTCAGGCTTAAGACCATCAGCCTGGTGATCCGCAGCACTCAGGGAGCTGAGGAGATGCTCAGGGCCCACGAGGAGCAGCTCAAGGAAATGCAGACTGTGCCTGCCACCCTCCCAGAGCTCGAGGCCACAAAGGCTTCCCTAAAGGTACTTACTTGATGGGGTTTGTGCCTCACCAGGGGCGGGGTTCAGCAGGAGCCCTGGCTAAACAGCACCGGCCCCTCCTCTGCTCAACAGAAACTTCGGGCCCAGGCAGAGGCACAGCAGCCCGTGTTTGATGCCCTGAAGGACGAGCTTCGGGGGGCACAGGAAGTAGGCGAGCGGCTGCAGCAGCGGCATGGGGAACGGGACGTGGAGGTGGAGCGCTGGCGTGAGCGGGTCACCCAGCTGCTGGAGCGTTGGCAAGCTGTGCTGACCCAGACTGATGTGCGCCAGCGGGAGCTGGAGCAGCTGGGCCGCCAACTGCGCTACTACCGAGAGAGTGCCGACCCGCTGAGCGCCTGGCTACAGGATGCCAGGCGGCGTCAGGAGCAGATCCAGGCTGTGCCCATGGCCAATAGCCGGGCTGTGCGGGAACAGCTGCAGCAGGAAAAGGTGGGTCCAGGTGGGAGTAGGCGGTGGTGGGGGTGCCATGTGGCTGTCGGTACTGACCGCCCTCCCCACAGGCTCTGCTGGAAGAAATTGAGCGCCACGGTGAGAAGGTCGAGGAGTGCCAGAGGTTTGCCAAGCAGTACATCAACGCCATTAAGGTGAGGCCTCCTTGCTATCTGCGTCAAGACCCATCTCCAGATACACTTAACAAGCTGATGGGGCCAGGACTCTGGGGTTGACCCTGGGACTGGGCCGTGTCTGCGACAGCCTGTGAGGTGGGCATGAAGGGCAGGCATGGGCATCCGGATGGCAGAGCCAACAGCAGACCAGTGTGTCCCCACAGGATTATGAGCTCCATCTGGTCACGTACAAGGCACAGCTTGAGCCAGTGGCCTCCCCAGCCAAGAAGCCCAAGGTCCAGTCTGGGTCGGAGAGCGTAATCCAGGAGGTAGGATGAAGCGGAGCCTAACGCGGTTGGGGGCTGGTGGGCCTCGCGGGGTTTCAGCTCTTAACTGGCTGACTTCCCCGCTTTTCCCCAGTATGTGGACCTTCGTACGCGCTACAGTGAGCTGACCACGCTCACAAGCCAGTACATCAAATTCATCACTGAGACGTTGCGGCGCATGGAGGAGGAGGAGGTATGGTTGGGGCCACACAGGGTGGGTTGAGGGACGCCCTCCTGCTGCCTGCCCTGCCCCAAACTCAGCCCATGGGAAGCTATCAGAGACCACTTAGACAGCTCCGCCCATTCTTGCCTGGTGCCACCCAGAATCCCCTTCCCCAGCACCGCTTCCCAGGCTGCCCTCACCTTGGCCTGTGGCCTCACCTTGGCTGGGTGCTGTGCTCCTCCCCCGTGGTGGCTGGTACCTCCTCTCCTCTTTCTTGGCAAGTGTCCTCAGCTGCATCCCACTGGCTCTCATGCACGTTCTTGGCAATTCTGTGGTTCCACTTGACCCATTGCTCTGGGAAGAGTCCCGGGTGTTAGGTCATGGGGGTTGGGGAGGGGTGGCATCCCAAGGTGCCTTGGGTGGGCTGGGTGCCTACTTGTGCCCTTCCTTCCCACGTCCTGAGTGGCCCCGCCATTGAGCCTACCTCCTCTGGTCAGATCTGCTGGCTCAGGTCTGCCCTGCACTCCCACTCTGGCCCTCTCACCGTGCCCCACCCATTTAGCTTCAGGAGTGGGCCCCTAGACGGAACCCATAGTGGAAGCCAGACCTGCTGGTGTCAGGCAGAGCTGGGCAGGACTGTGGTGGGCATGGCTTGCAGACCCTGCGAGCCTCCTGCTTTGCTCTTTCTCTCTCTCCCTACCCCCCCGTCTGTCTCCGTCGCCTGTCTGCGGGAAGAGGGGAGGATGCCTGGGCCTCCTTCCCCAGGCTGGTGAGCACAGTGGGTCTGGCTGCGCTCGCTGCCTGAGTGCCCTGGGCGGGTGCACGCTATCTCCTTGGCTGGGCTGGGTTCTTTGTCCTCCCTCATCCCCCTGCATCGCACTGTCCGAGTGAACTGTGGTGGTACCGTGTCACGTGAGCAAATGGCACCTGCCTCATGCTCACGCTCTCTCTGGTTCTCTTCCTCTCTCTGCTATGGCCACAGAGGCTGGCCGAGCAGCAGCGGGCAGAGGAGCGGGAGCGACTGGCAGAGGTGGAGGCTGCGCTGGAGAAGCAGCGGCAGCTGGCCGAGGCACATGCCCAGGCCAAGGTGCAGGCGGAGCTGGAGGCACAGGAACTGCAACGGCGAATGCAGGAGGAGGTGGCACGGCGGGAAGAAGCAGCAGTGGACGCGCAGCAGCAGAAACGCAGTATCCAGGAAGAGCTGCAGCATCTGCGGCAGAGCTCGGAGGCAGAAATCCAGGCCAAGACCCAGCAGGTGGAGGCGGCTGAACGAAACAGGCTGCGCATCGAGGAGGAGATCCGCGTAGTGCGCCTTCAGCTGGAGACGACTGAGCGCCAGCGTGGTGGGGCAGAGGGTGAGCTGCAGGCTCTGCGTGCACGAGCAGAGGAAGCGGAAGCACAGAAGCGGCAGGCACAGGAGGAGGCTGAGCGCTTGCGGAGGCAGGTGCAGGAGGAGAGCCAGCGTAAGCGTCAAGCAGAAGCAGAGCTGGCCCTGCGTGTGAAGGCTGAGGCTGAGGCAGCTCGAGAGAAACAGAGGGCTCTGAAGTCACTGGAGGAGCTGCGACTGCAGGCCGAGGAGGCAGAGAGGCGGCTACGGCAGGCAGAGGCAGAGCGGGCACGCCAAGTGCAGGTAGCCCTTGAGACAGCTCAACGTAGCGCAGAGGCAGAATTGCAGAGCAAGCGTGCCTCCTTCGCAGAGAAGACTGCACAGCTGGAGCGCACCCTACAGGAAGAGCATGTGACAGTGGCCCAGCTGCGGGAGGAGGCGGAGCGGCGGGCACAGCAGCAGGCAGAAGCTGAACATGCTCGTGAGGAGGCTGAGCGGGAGCTGGAGCGCTGGCAGCTAAAGGCCAATGAGGCACTGAGGCTGCGGCTGCAGGCAGAGGAGGTGGCACAGCAGAAGAGCTTGGCGCAGGCTGAGGCCGAGAAGCAGAAAGAGGAGGCAGAGCGTGAGGCCCGGCGGCGTGGTAAGGCGGAAGAGCAGGCTGTGCGGCAGCGGGAGCTGGCCGAGCAGGAGCTAGAGAAACAGCGACAGCTGGCAGAGGGCACTGCACAGCAGCGCCTGGCAGCCGAGCAGGAGCTAATTCGCCTACGAGCTGAGACCGAGCAGGGGGAACAGCAGCGGCAGCTGCTGGAAGAGGAGCTGGCCCGGCTGCAGCGTGAGGCAGCCGAAGCCACACAGAAGCGCCGGGAGCTGGAGGCAGAACTGGCTAAGGTGAGGGCGGAGATGGAGGTGCTGCTAGCTAGCAAGGCTCGAGCTGAGGAAGAGTCCCGCTCCACCAGCGAGAAGTCCAAGCAGAGGCTAGAAGCCGAAGCCAGCCGGTTCCGTGAGCTGGCTGAGGAGGCTGCCCGCCTACGAGCCCTGGCTGAGGAGGCCAAGCGGCAGCGGCAGCTGGCTGAGGAGGACGCGCAACGCCAGCGGGCCGAGGCGGAGCGGGTGCTTGCTGAGAAACTGGCTGCCATCAGCGAGGCCACGCGACTTAAGACGGAGGCAGAGATTGTGCTCAAGGAGAAGGAGGCAGAGAATGAACGTCTGCGGCGGCTGGCAGAGGATGAGGCCTTCCAGAGGCGGAAGCTGGAGGAGCAGGCAGCACAGCACAAGGCTGACATTGAGGAACGCCTTGCCCAGCTGCGCAAGGCTTCGGAGAGTGAGCTTGAGCGGCAGAAGGGGCTGGTGGAGGACACACTGAGGCAGCGGCGGCTGGTGGAGGAAGAGATCCTTGCACTGAAGGTGAGCTTTGAGAAAGCTACGGCCGGCAAGGCGGAGCTGGAGCTGGAGCTGGGGCGCATCCGCAGCAATGCAGAGGACACATTGCGCAGCAAGGAGCAGGCGGAACTGGAGGCTGCTCGGCAGCGGCAGTTGGCGGCAGAGGAGGAGCAGCGGCGCCGAGAGGCTGAAGAGCGTGTGCAGAAGAGCCTGGCAGCTGAGGAGGAGGCCGCAAGGCAGCGCAAGGCTGCGCTGGAGGAAGTCGAGCGGCTCAAGGCCAAAGTGGAAGAGGCCCGGCGCCTGCGGGAGCGAGCGGAACAGGAGTCAGCTCGGCAGCTACAGTTGGCCCAAGACGCTGCCCAGAAGCGACTACAGGCAGAGGAGAAGGCACATGCCTTTGTGGTGCAGCAGCGAGAGCAGGAGCTGCAGCAGACGCTGCAGCAGGAGCAGAGCATGCTAGAGCGGCTGCGTGGCGAGGCAGAGGCAGCTCGGCGAGCAGCTGAGGAGGCCGAGGAGGCCCGACAGCATGCTGAGCGGGAGGCAGCGCAATCTCTGCGGCAGGTGGAAGAGGCAGAGCGGCTGAAGCAGTTGGCAGAGGAGCAGGCCCAGGCCCAGGCCCAGGCCCAGGCTGCTGCGGAGAAGCTGCGCAAAGAAGCCGAGCAGGAGGCAGCACGGAGGGCACAGGCAGAGCAGGCAGCCCTGAAGCAGAAGCAGGCAGCTGATGCGGAGATAGAGAAGCACAAGAAGTTCTCAGAGCAGACGCTACGGCAGAAGGCCCAGGTGGAGCAGGAGCTGACGACACTGCGGCTGCAGCTGGAGGAGACTGACCACCAGAAGAGCATCTTGGATGAGGAGCTGCAGCGGCTGAAGGCAGAGGTGACAGAGGCTGCCCGCCAGCGCAGCCAGGTGGAGGAGGAGCTCTTTTCTGTGCGCGTGCAGATGGAGGAACTGAGCAAGCTCAAGGCACGCATCGAGGCTGAGAACCGTGCGCTTATCTTGCGTGACAAGGACAATACACAGCGCTTCCTAGAGGAGGAAGCTGAGAAGATGAAGCAGGTGGCTGAAGAGGCCGCACGGCTGAGTGTGGCTGCCCAGGAGGCTGCGCGGCTGCGGCAGCTGGCAGAGGAGGACCTGGCACAGCAGCGGGCCCTAGCGGAGAAGATGCTCAAGGAAAAGATGCAGGCAGTACAGGAGGCCACACGGCTCAAGGCTGAGGCAGAGCTTCTACAGCAGCAGAAGGAGCTGGCACAGGAGCAGGCCCGGCAGCTGCAAGAGGACAAGGAGCAGATGGCACAGCAGCTGGAACAGGAGACCCAGGGCTTTCAGCGGACACTGGAGGCAGAGAGACAGCGGCAGCTGGAAATGAGCGCAGAAGCTGAGCGCCTCAAGCTGCGCGTGGCTGAGATGAGCCGGGCCCAGGCCCGTGCAGAGGAAGATGCCCAGCGCTTCCGGAAGCAGGCTGAGGAGATTGGCGAGAAGTTACACCGAACTGAGCTTGCCACACAGGAGAAGGTGACACTGGTACACACTCTGGAGATCCAGAGGCAGCAGAGTGACCAAGATGCTGAACGCCTACGGGAGGCTATTGCTGAGCTGGAGCGTGAAAAGGAGAAGCTCAAGCAGGAGGCCAAGTTGCTGCAGCTCAAGTCTGAGGAGGTACCGCCCTCCCTCCACACAGGCGGGCGGGCCCGGTGGGGAAGTCTGCCCTGGGGTGAGTTGGTGGGTTGGTGGGTTCTCCTAGGGCCCCAGCATTCCTGACCACTGCCCACTCCCTCCCCATTTCTCATAGATGCAGACAGTGCAACAGGAGCAGATGCTGCAGGAGACACAGGCCCTGCAACAGAGCTTCCTCTCCGAGAAAGACAGTCTGCTACAGCGAGAGCGCTTCATTGAGCAAGAGAAAGCCAAGTTGGAGCAACTTTTCCAGGATGAGGTGGCCAAGGCACAGCAGCTTCGTGAGGAACAGCGGCGGCAACAGGAGCAGATGGAGCAGGAGAAGAAGCAGTTGGTGGCTAGTATGGAGGAGGCCCGGCGGCGGCAGCATGAGGCAGAGGAGGGTGTGCGACGCAAACAGGAGGAGCTGCAGTGCCTGGAACAGCAGAGACAGCAGCAAGAGAAGCTGCTGGCTGAGGAGAACCAGAGGCTGCGTGAGCGGCTGCAGCGCCTGGAGGAGGAGCACCGGGCTGCCCTGGCACACTCGGAAGAGATTGCCGCCTTGCAGGCCACTGCTGTAAAGGCCTTGCCTAATGGCCGGGATACCCCTGATGGCCCAGCTGCGGAGGTGGAGCCTGAGCATACCTTCCAGGGCTTGCGCCAGAGGGTGCCAGCTCAACGACTGCAGGAGGCCGGCATCCTGAGTACAGAGGAACTACAACGGCTAGCACAGGGCCATACCACGGTGGCTGAGTTGGCAAGACGGGAAGATGTGCAGCGGTACCTGCAGGGCCGCAGCAGCATTGCAGGACTCCTGCTGAAGCCTACCAATGAGAAGTTGAGTGTCTACACGGCCCTGCAGAGGCAGCTGCTGAGCCCTGGCACAGCCCTCATCTTGCTTGAGGCCCAAGCTGCTTCCGGTTTCCTACTGGACCCTGTGAGGAATCGACGGCTGACTGTCAATGAGGCCGTGAAGGAGGGTGTTGTGGGCCCTGAGCTACACCATAAGCTGCTATCAGCTGAGCGTGCTGTCACTGGCTACAAGGATCCCTACACTGGGGAGCAGATCTCGCTTTTCCAGGCCATGCAGAAGGACCTCATTGTGCGTGACCACGGCATCCGCCTGTTGGAGGCTCAGATCGCCACGGGCGGCATCATCGACCCTGTACACAGCCACCGCCTGCCTGTGGATGTGGCCTACCAGCGTGGTTACTTCGATGAGGCAATGAGCCGTATCCTGTCCGACCCCAGCGATGACACCAAGGGCTTCTTCGACCCCAACACACATGAGAACCTCACCTACCTACAACTGTTGGAGCGCTGTGTGGAAGACCCTGAGACAGGTCTGTGCCTTCTGCCGCTCACAGATAAGGCTGCCAAGGGCGGTGAGCTGGTCTACACCGACTCAGAGGCCCGAGATGTCTTTGAGAAAGCCACCGTGTCTGCACCGTTTGGCAAGTTTCAGGGCAAGACAGTGACCATCTGGGAGATCATCAACTCAGAGTACTTCTCGGCAGAGCAGCGGCGGGACCTGCTGCGGCAGTTCCGCACAGGTCGTATTACGGTCGAGAAGATCATCAAAATAGTCATCACCGTGGTGGAGGAGCACGAGAGGAAGGGCCAGCTCTGCTTTGAGGGCCTTCGAGCTTTGGTGCCTGCCGCTGAGCTGCTGGAGAGCAGGGTCATTGATCGTGACCTCTACCAACAGCTGCAGCAGGGCAAGCGCTCTGTGCGAGAAGTGGCCGAAGTGGAGGCTGTGCGGCGGGCCCTGCGGGGTGCCAGTGTCATTGCAGGCGTGTGGCTGGAGGAAGCGGGGCAAAAGCTGAGCATCTATGAGGCCCTGAAAAAAGGCCTGCTGCAGCCAGATGTGGCGGTGGCCCTGCTGGAGGCCCAGGCTGGCACCGGACACATGATTGACCCTGCCACTAGTGCCCGGCTGACCGTGGATGAGGCAGTGCGTGCTGGCCTGGTGGGCCCTGAGCTGCACGAAAAGCTACTGTCAGCTGAGAAGGCTGTAACAGGCTATAGGGACCCCTATTCGGGCCAGAGTGTCTCTCTGTTTCAGGCCCTAAAGAAAGGCCTCATCCCCAAGGAACAGGGCCTGCGTCTGCTGGATGCCCAGCTGTCCACGGGTGGTATTGTGGACCCAAGCAAGAGCCACCGCGTGCCTCTGGATGTTGCCTGTGCCCGGGGCTACCTGGACGAGGAGACCAACAGGGCCTTGTCAACACCCAGGGATGACGCCAAGGTCTACCTTGACCCTAGCTCGTGTGAACCAGTGACTTATAGCCAGCTCCAGCAGCGGTGCCGGCCCGACCAGCTGACAGGGCTGAGCCTGCTGCTGCTCTCAGAGAAGGCCATCCGGGCCCGGCAGGAGGAGGTCTACTCTGAACTGCAATCTAGGGAGACCTTTGAGAAGGCCACTGTTGAGGTCCCTGTGGGCAACTTCAAGGGCAGGACGATGACAGTGTGGGAGCTCATCAGTTCTGAGTACTTCACGGAGGAGCAGCGGCAGGAGCTGCTGCGACAGTTTCGCACAGGCAAGGTCACCGTGGAGAAGGTCATCAAGATCCTCATCACCATTGTGGAAGAGGTGGAGACCAAGCGGCAGGAACGGCTGTCCTTCAGTGGACTCCGTGCCCCTGTGCCAGCCAGTGAGCTTCTGGCCGCCAAGGTTCTCAGCAAAGCCCAGTTTGAGCAGCTCAAAGATGGCCGGACATCAGTCAAGGACCTCTCGGAGGTGAGCTCTGTGCAGACACTGCTGCAGGGCAGTGGCTGCCTGGCCGGCATCTACCTGGAAGACTCCAAGGAGAAGGTGACCATTTATGAGGCCATGCGCCGGGGTCTGCTCAGACCCAGCACAGCCACGCTTTTGCTAGAGGCCCAGGCGGCCACTGGCTTTCTGGTAGACCCTGTGCGTAACCAGCGCCTATATGTCCATGAGGCCGTGAAGGCAGGTGTTGTGGGCCCTGAGCTACATGAGAAGCTGCTGTCGGCTGAGAAGGCTGTCACTGGCTACAAGGACCCCTACTCGGGTACCACCATCTCACTCTTCCAGGCCATGAAGAAAGGTCTGGTGCTTAGGGAGCATGGCATCCGCCTGCTGGAGGCCCAGATTGCTACTGGTGGCATCATTGACCCCGTGCACAGCCACCGCCTCCCTGTGGATGTGGCCTACCAGCGTGGCTACTTTGATGAGGAGATGAACCGCATCCTGGCAGACCCCAGCGATGACACCAAAGGCTTCTTTGACCCCAACACTCATGAGAACCTCACCTACCGGCAGCTGCTGGAACGCTGTGTGGAGGACCCTGAGACAGGCCTGCGCCTGCTTCCCCTGAAAGGGGCTGAAAAGGCTGAGGTGGTGGAGACCACACAGGTGTACACTGAAGAGGAGACCCGGAGGGCATTCGAGGAGACACAGATCGACATCCCTGGTGGTGGCAGTCAGGGCGGCTCTACCATGACCCTGTGGGAGGTGATGCAGTCAGACCTGATCCCTGAGGAGCAGCGGGCCCGGCTGATGGCTGACTTTCAGGCTGGCCGAGTGACCAAGGAGCGCATGATCATCATCATCATTGAGATTATTGAGAAGACTGAGATTATCCGGCAGCAGAACCTGGCATCCTATGACTATGTGCGCCGCCGCCTCACGGCTGAAGACCTGTATGAGGCCCGGATCATCTCCCTTGAGAGCTACAACCTGCTGCGGGAGGGAACCAAGAGCCTCCGTGAGGTCCTGGAGGCAGAGTCTGCCTGGCGCTACCTCTATGGCACAGGCTCAGTAGCTGGTGTCTATATGCCCGGCTCCAGGCAGACACTGACTGTCTACCAGGCCCTTAAGAAAGGACTGCTGGGTGCTGAGGTGGCCCGCTTGCTGCTGGAGGCACAGGCAGCCACAGGCTTCCTACTGGACCCGGTGAAGGGCGAGCGGCTCACTGTGGATGAGGCTGTGCGGAAGGGCCTTGTGGGCCCCGAGCTGCACGACCGGCTGCTTTCAGCAGAGCGAGCTGTTACTGGCTACCGTGACCCTTACACCGAGCAGACCATCTCACTCTTCCAGGCTATGAAGAAGGAGCTGATCCCTGCAGAGGAGGCCCTGCGGCTGCTGGATGCCCAGCTGGCCACAGGAGGCATCGTAGACCCCCGCCTGGGCTTCCACCTCCCACTGGAGGTGGCCTACCAACGTGGTTACCTCAACAAGGACACATTTGACCAGCTCTCAGAGCCCAGTGAGGTGCGCAGCTATATGGACCCCTCAACGGACGAACGCCTCAGCTACACACAGCTCCTCCGGCGGTGCCGCCGTGATGACAGCAGTGGCCAAATGCTCTTGCCGCTCTCGGATGCCCGCAAACTGACCTTCCGCGGCCTGCGCAAGCAAATCACCGTGGAGGAGCTGGTGCGCTCACAAGTCATGGATGAGGCCACGGCACTACAGCTGCAGGAGGGCCTGACCTCTATCGAGGAGGTCACCAAGAACTTGCAGAAGTTCCTTGAGGGTACTAGCTGCATTGCTGGGGTCTTTGTTGATGCCACCAAGGAGCGGCTGTCAGTGTACCAGGCCATGAAGAAGGGCATAATTCGCCCTGGCACTGCCTTCGAGCTCTTGGAGGCCCAGGCAGCTACGGGCTATGTCATTGACCCTATCAAGGGGCTTAAGCTGACTGTTGAGGAGGCTGTGCGCATGGGCATTGTGGGCCCCGAGTTCAAGGACAAGTTGCTGTCAGCTGAGCGTGCTGTCACTGGCTATAAGGACCCCTACAGTGGGAAGCTCATCTCCCTCTTCCAGGCCATGAAGAAGGGTCTGATCCTGAAGGACCATGGGATCCGCCTGCTGGAGGCCCAGATCGCTACTGGCGGCATCATTGACCCCGAGGAGAGCCACCGGCTGCCTGTGGAGGTGGCCTACAAGCGTGGCCTCTTTGATGAGGAAATGAATGAGATCCTAACTGACCCTTCAGATGACACCAAGGGATTCTTTGACCCCAACACAGAGGAAAACCTCACCTACCTGCAGCTGATGGAGCGCTGCGTCACTGACCCTCAGACTGGCCTGTGCCTCCTGCCACTGAAAGAGAAGAAGCGGGAGCGGAAGACATCCTCCAAGTCCTCGGTGCGGAAGCGTCGTGTGGTGATTGTGGACCCCGAGACAGGCAAGGAGATGTCAGTGTATGAGGCCTACCGCAAGGGTCTCATTGACCACCAGACATACCTGGAGCTGTCTGAGCAGGAGTGTGAGTGGGAAGAGATCACCATCTCCTCCTCAGATGGTGTGGTCAAGTCCATGATCATTGACCGCCGTTCTGGCCGCCAGTATGACATTGATGATGCCATTGCCAAGAACTTCATTGACCGCTCTGCACTGGATCAGTACCGCGCTGGCACGCTTTCCATCACTGAGTTCGCCGACATGCTTTCGGGCAACGCCAGTGGCTTTCGCTCCCGCTCTTCCTCGGTGGGCTCCTCATCCTCCTACCCCATCAGCCCTGCAGTCTCTAGGACCCAACTGACCTCCTGGTCTGACCCCACCGAGGAGACGGGCCCAGTGGCTGGCATCTTAGATACAGAGACTCTGGAGAAGGTGTCCATCACAGAGGCCATGCACCGCAACCTGGTAGACAACATCACTGGGCAGCGGCTGCTGGAGGCGCAGGCCTGCACCGGGGGCATCATTGATCCCAGCACGGGTGAGCGCTTCCCTGTCACTGACGCTGTCAACAAGGGCCTGGTGGACAAGATTATGGTGGATCGCATCAACCTGGCCCAAAAAGCCTTCTCCGGCTTTGAGGACCCGCGCACCAAGACCAAGATGTCGGCTGCCCAGGCGCTGAAGAAGGGCTGGTTGTACTACGAGGCAGGCCAGCGCTTTCTGGAGGTGCAGTACCTGACAGGTGGCCTGATTGAGCCTGACATGCCAGGCCGTGTGTCCCTGGATGAGGCCCTGCAGCGCGGCACCGTGGATGCCCGCACGGCTCAGAAGCTCCGTGACGTCAGCGCCTACTCGAAGTACCTCACCTGCCCCAAGACCAAGCTCAAGATCTCCTACAAGGATGCACTGGACCGCAGCATGGTGGAGGAGGGCACAGGGCTGCGGCTGCTGGAGGCTGCTGCCCAGTCCAGCAAGGGCTACTACAGCCCGTACAGCGTCAGTGGCTCTGGCTCCACTGCTGGCTCGCGCACTGGCTCGCGCACTGGCTCCCGGGCCGGCTCCCGCCGTGGCAGCTTTGACGCCACTGGCTCTGGCTTCTCCATGACCTTCTCTTCTTCCTCTTACTCTTCCTCAGGCTATGGCCGCCGCTATGCCTCAGGACCCTCGACTTCTATGGGAGGACCTGAGTCTGCGGTGGCCTGACTCCCTGCCTGCACCCCACCCTCTCCCTCTGCATGTGGCCAGGCTCCCTGCAAAGATGCTGGGGTCTCTCTTTAACATTTAAAGGTGTCTTCCTCCCAAGTGGTGCCTCAAGTTTAACCAAAAAAACCAGACTAACACATTAATGTCTAATTGCTGTCCAGACAGCCTGTATCTTGGGGGGGCAGGGCTGGCACAGCCCTATTGACCACCGCACCCCACTCGGGTCTCCCCACTCCCTTCAACCTGCCACTCGCCACAGCCAGGTGCCTTGGAGGGTCCAGAGCCGGTCCCCAGCCCACTCTTCCTGTCTACCCAAGGAGGGTTTCGTGTGGGCAAGGCCCCAGCCCCAAAAGCCAACCCCACTGGATGCCTACTGCCAGCCCTACGTGCCGAGGGCAGTGGGGTCAGGCCCGGCAGCAGAGGGCCCTCCGTCCTCTCAGGGTGCCCGCTTGGGGCCAGCGTTTTCCCCAGCGTGTTTCTTGGACGGGCCTGCTCCCTCGGTGGGTCCTGCTAGTGAGGGAAGGGCTGGGCCAGCCATCTTTTCCAGCCTGCCCAGAGAAGCCCTTCCCCATGGGAAGATGAGGGTCCAGTCTGCAAGGCTCCCAGCCCCGACACTCACTCTCCCAGGACCCCGGCCTCCAGCTTCAGCCTTCCAGCCTCAGTTCCCTTGTAAGTGCCTTCTGTGTCCTCCCTCGTACCCGAGCCCTGAGGATCCAGACCTGGGGTGGGAGACGGATGTTCCAGATGGGCGGTGCTGGGGATTCTGCATACCTGGCCTCCTCCTAGGCCCCCTGCCCACCTTGCTCCCAGGGAGCCCCAGTCCCTCTTGGCCCAGGATTCTGGCTGGGCCGTGCCGGGATCCCCACCAGTGCCCCTCATCCAGCCAGCCCTTGGCCTTGGCGGCTCCCAGCCCCGCCTCCACCCTCTGACTGAGCTTTGCATGCCCCACTAACCCAGGCTGGTGGCAGGTGGAGGTGCCAGGCAGAACACTAACCTGACCATGGGTGGGGCCCTGCGGCACCCACCCCTCAATAAAAGCAATTCCAACCTTCCTGTGGATCTTGCCTTGTTTTTTGGTTCAGGGTCGAGGTGGGGAGGTATTGTAGCCTGGGCTCCGGGCTCCAAGCTTAGCTACTGTTGTCCTGGCTCGGATGGGGCCCATGGAGACACTGGCCTGAGGCTGGACATTACGGGCAAGAAAAGCCAGGTGGTGGCTGCAGGTGGGCCTGGCACACTGAAGACCCAGCTGAGGCCTGCTGCCAGTCCAGCCAGTGCCTATCACCTAGCCCACCTGTTAGGCTTGGTCTGCGGTTCTTACTTGAGGCTCCTCTTTGGTGGGCTCTTAACCTGTATTGTTAATTGGCTGTGCCCGCTCACCTTGAGGAGGGAGCAGTGTGACCCCTGCATGAGCTTGTTCCCGAGACCCAGGCAGCCCTCCAGGGTTGAGACTCAGGACTGCTGAGAGCACTGACAGTCTCCCAAGGTGGCACCTTGGCCTTAGCCTGCTGGATTCTAGCTGTGGCTCTCACTTCCACCGGGCTTTAATAACCTCAGGTGGATCCCTGGGAAGCACAGTCCTTAGAGGAGGATTGGTGTCACAATGCCCATTGGCTGGCTGGCAGTCCGCCTCTCGGCCTTGGGCCATGTGTTCTGGAGAAGCCTGTACAGAGAAATTACATCAACATGGTCCCAGGTCACTTCTGGCTGGGTACCTCTTTTCTATAGTTCATGTCCCCAAGCAAAGCCTCACAGGGTTCTCAGATAAAACCCAAGCTTTCAAACATGATCTGAAAATGTAAACTGAGACACATGAAACAATGTCAGCAGCATAAACAAAAGCAGAAGTAGGATCTGAAGGACAGGATATTGGAATTATTCAATAAAGAATATAGTATGTTTAAAATGTTTATGAAATGAGCTGGGCATGGTAGGACACACCTGTAATCCCACACTCTTGAGAGGCTGAGGGAGGAGATGGCAAGTTCAAGCCCAGCCTGGGCAATTTAGTGACTGGGAAACCGTCTCAGGGGAAAAAAAAAAAAAGTTGAGGACGTAGCTTAGTGCAGAGGACCTGGGTTCAATCTGCCAAAAACAAAAACTGTTTTTGAAATACAGAATGTGAAAATATTCTAAAAAGGCCAAGAAGATCATAAGGAATTTAACAGAGTTTCTAGAAATGAAACAATGGCGTTTAAAACTCAGTGGCAGTTGGGTATGGAGGTGCATGGCTATAGACCCAGCACTTGGGAGGCTGAGGCAAGAGGACTGCTGTGAGTTCAAGGCCAGCCTGAATTGCATAGTGAGACCCTGTCTCAAAAAAAAAGAAAACAACCAAAACAGTCCATGGCAAACTGGGCATGGGTGCATGTACCTGTAAAAAAATGGCCTGGTTAAACAGCTTTTTGTTAGTCAAAGAACTAGTGAATTAGAAAAGATACCTGAAGAAGTTAGTTGGAATTCATTCTAGAAAGAGGATGGGGCATAAGGAAACTGCAAAGAGACAACGTGAAACAGTTTCTCACTGGTCTAACTGTGACGGCCCTGGAGGAAGCAAGGAGAGAAGTCATAGCCAATAATTATTTTTCAAGTGGATAAGAAGTATGACATCACTATCAAAAAGCACAATGAAATCAAACTATGACAAATTAAAACATCATATATCAAAATGTAGCAAAATTGCCTAAAACCGAAGACAGAAAATCTTAAAGCAGCCAGAGAGAAAAGATAGATTACCTGCTACAGGATGACAGGCCAACAGCAGCTACCTCCGTAGCAGCCATGAAGCTTCTTACAGTGTATCCATCCATCAGGCGCATGGCTTTCACCCTGAATCTTTCGGAAATGCAAACTCTTGAGGCCCACTGGAACTACTGATTCAGAATCTGTTTCTTCCTTTTCTTCTGTTCGTCCTTTCTTCTTTCTTCCCTTCCTTCCTCCCTTTCTTCCTTTCTTTTTTGAGATGGAGTCCTGCTATGTTGCCAGGCTAGCCTGAAACTCATGAACTCAATCCTTTGCCTCACCCAAGTGCTGGGACCATCGGCATGTACCATTGCACTCAACTGGAATGTATACTTTAACAGGATCAACACATTAATGCACTTAGGTGTGTATACATGTATTGGAAATTAAACCCAGGGTCTTAACATCTCCAGCCTTTTTTTTTTATTTTATTGAGACAACAGGTTTTCCCTAAATTGCTAAATTGCCCAGGCTGGACTTGAACTTGAAGTCCTCTTGCCTCAGCCTCCAGAGTGCTGGGGTTACAGATGTACACCACCACAATTAATTTAACGTTATTTTAAAGCAAAGTATTAATTTTAGAATTGCTTTACAAGGGCTGGGGATTTAGCTCACCGGCACAGTGCCTGCCTGGCAAGCGTGAGTCGTGAGTTCAATTCCCGGTACCGGAAAAACAAACAAACAAAAAAAAATAGAATTGCTTTACAGTCTGAAGAGACATTTATCCAAACAAGGCTAATGGCCAAAAGCACGTGAAAAGATATAACTTTGTGGGGGGAGGGTGTAATTTTGTGGGGAGGTGTTGGCAGTGGGTCTCCAGGCCTTAGATTGCTATTCACACACTCTAGCACTCAGCTATATCCCAGCCCACATGTAATTTCTCGTCAGAGGCCTGTCTTACTCTCTTCCTTCTGTTACAAAATACCACAGACTAGAGAGGTTAAAAACAGTAGAAAGTTATTTTTTCAGTTTTGGAGGCTAGGAAGCCCACCGGCAGGCTCTGTGTCTGGTGAGAACTTGTTCTATCAGTAGTGATTTTTCATGGCAATGTTCTCCCATGGCAGAAGGGGTGAATGGCTGTTTGCTTATGTGATGAAAGGCAGGAGGGTGTGATGGGTCTAGTTAGTTTTCTTCAGTCCTTTTATAAGGTCACAAATCCTGTTCATCACCTCTAAAGACCGCACACCTCAATACTGTTGCCCTGGGTAGTAAGTTTCAACATGAGTACGAGCTGGGCATGGTGGTGCACACCCTTAATCCCAGCACTCGGGAGGCTGAAGCAGGAGGATCGTTGCGAGTTCGAGACCAGCCTGGGCTACAAAGTGAGCTCAAGGCCAGCCTGAACTGCATAGCGAGACCTTGTCTCAAAAAGACAGAAAGAAACGAGAAAAAGAAAAGAAAAGAATTCTGGAGATGAGGGTAATGATGGCTGCACATCAGTGTAAATGTACTTAATGTCAGAACTGTATACTTAAAATGATTAAAATGGTATATTTTACCACAATTTAAAAAGAAAACAATAATCTTGTTTAAGTTTTAAAAATGATGAACTTGGACTTCTAGTTCTGTCCCAGATGGAGTAACGAGAACCAAGTTCTCTCTGTTGAAGAAACGAAAATATTAGATAAAGCGAGTGAGGCTATGCCTCTCCAACCATGGGCCACGAAGCAACGAGGACAGCGATAAGCTGGAACCCGAGGGCAGCTCCAGCTCGCTGCCCTGAGAGAGCATTGTGTGTGGGAACGGGATGCGGTGGGAGCTCAGGAGGTTCCTCATAGATGCCTTGGGTCAGGATGGAGCTGGGCGTCCTAGGGGCAGACAGCTAGAAGTGGCATGGCAGAAACCAAGTGGAGGACACTGCACAGGGAAGGACTGGCCACAGCGCATGTGCCGGCACCCTCCTGCAGTGGGGAGAAACAAGCAGAAGGGCCAGAAGCAATCCACAGAGGCCACACAGGACTGAGAACGCTTCCTGCTCCTGCAGGCCAGAATGAAAAGCCTGTAATTCAAGAGCATCAGATAGAGAACTCATGATCTCTAGGGGTGAGGAAAGGGTCAGTCCTGCCTAGCAAAGCTTAAAAGTAAGACCATGCCTGCCAAAACAAAGTTCAAAAACCTTTATAAAACATGAAAATATAGCTGAGAGTGGTGGTGCACACCTGTAATTCCAGCACTTGGGAGGCTGAGGCAGGAGGATCATTGCGAGTTCAAGACCAGCCTGGGTTGCAAAGTGAGCTTGAGGCCAGCCTGAAGTGTATAGCAAGACTCTCTCAAAAAGACAAAAAAAAAAAAAAAGGATGAAAATATGTGGCATGAAACAGTAAAATCCACAACACCTAGCACAGAACAAAAAACTACCAGCCATGCAAAATGGGGTGGGGGAGGCAAAATACACAACCTTTAACACACAGACAAGTCAGTGAAAGTGTCACAGATACAGACTCAGTAGATAAGGACACAGAGTTGTTAAACTGCATTCCATATGTTCTAGAAACTTAGGAAAGAGTGAACAGGTTAAGTAGAAACAGACTAAGAGAGAAAGAAAAAGAAAGAAAGCAAGCAAGCCAAATTTATCTTCTAAAAGTGAAATCCTACACTGCCTGAGAAGGCAAATACACTGGATATATTAACAGCAGATTTTTTTTGTGTGTGTCATTTTGGAGACTGGGTCTTGCTATAGTTCAGGCTGGCCTCGAGCTCACTTTGTAGCCCAGGCTGGTCTTGAACTCACAACGATCCTTCTGCCTCAGCCTCCCAAGTGCTGGGATTACAGGTGTGTGTCACCATGTCCGGCTTAACAGCAAATTAGATACTGCAGAAGAAAAGAGTAATAAAATTGAAGAAATAGCACAGGAAAGTATCAGAAATGAAACACAGAGAAAATTTATTTTTATTTTTATTTTTTTTTTGAAAAATGATTTTTAAAAGATGAAAAGAGTAGCAAAGACCCTTGGGACAACTCCCAGCAGCCTAATGTGCTCCAATGGGCTTCTGAAAGGGTGGAAAGGCATGAAAAGTATCTGAGAAATAGTGGCTAAAATGTCCCCAAATTAGATAAAAACTATCAACTTCCATGTCCACGAATCTCAATAAACTTCAAGCACAAGAACATGGTAAAACTATGCCAAGACAAACTTATTCAAGTTGCTGGTTTTTTTGGTACCAGGAATCAAACTCAGTACCTTGTGCTTGCCCGGCAGGTACTTGTGCTGCTGAGCTATATCCCCGGCCTTCAAGTTGCTTTAAAGCAAGAATAAAAAGAAAATTTTAGCCAGGTATGGTAGTACACACTTGTACTTGGAAGACTGAGGCAGGAAG